GGAAGGCCCTCTATGAGGTGGATTGATTCAGTGACTGGGATAATTGGGATGGGAGTATCAGAGACAGTGCGATTGGCATAGGACAGAGCGGAGTTTAGGGCTGTTGTACACAGGGTCGCTATGAGTCGCAGGCGACTCGACGGCACATAAGAACAACAACAATTGTGCCCTTAATACACTACCCAACAAACTCAGTGCCATTGAGTTAATTCCACCTCACAGTGACCCAGCAGGACAGAGCTTGTTGTTAGGGGCTATCGACTATGACTAGCAACCTGGTGAACAAGAGAGCTGAGCCTTGCCTCACAGTCTCCGCCATGCTCGAGCTCTTCTTGCAGTCACTTTCTCAAGCCACCTCTTGAAGGGTGGTTATCTTTTTTCTTCTCTTTCTGTTCACCTTCCAATCACTGACCTTTTGGTTAGTAATATAACATGTAACACTCTAAAGTCCAAAGACCCATTTTAATATGCTATGTTGGTGTTTGATGCCATCTAGTTGACTATGCCCCCTAGCGGCCCTATTAACAGAGCTGAACCTTGCCCTGTGCTGCATCATCCTCATGATATCTGCCATGTTCAAGTCCAACATTACAGTCACTGCATCTCTCTCACTGACCCTTTACCTTTCCCAGCATGATGTCTTTCTCTAAGGGCTGGCCAAAGTATGTGAGATGAAGTTTTACCATCCTTGCCTCTACGGAGCACCCTGGTTACACATCTTCCAAGATGTATCTGTTTATTCTTTTGATAGTCCATGATATCTTTATCATCAACACCACAATTCAAAGGCATTGATTCTTCTTGGATTGTCCTCATTCATTGTCTAAGCTTCACGTGTACAAGAAGCAAATGGAAATAGAGAGGCTTGAACCAGGTGTATTATTTCATCTTTAAACTAATATCATTGCTCTTTAGCACCTTGAAGCCAATTTGCCAAATGCAACTAATGCATCTTTTGATTTCTTGATTGCTGCTAGCATGTTGATTGTGGATCCAAGTAAAATGAAGTCCTTGACAACGTCAATCTTTCTCCATCTATCATGATGTTGTGTATTGGTCCAGTGGGAAGGACTTTTGTTTTCTAAATGTTGAGGTATATAATCCATATTGAAGGCTGTACTATTTTCTTTTTTCTTTTTTTTTTTTTTTGATGCAACAGCAAGAGGTTTATTGCGGAGCTCCGGGCCGACACGTATCTCTCGCAGGAGACAGAGGAGTCGACCCCGAGCAGACAATTTTTGCTCTTTATGATTTTCTGAAGCAAGTGTTTCAAGTCTTTTTCACATTCTGCAAGCAAGGTTGTGTCACCTGAATAATGCAGGTTGTTTATGAGTCTTCCTCTGATCCTGATGCCACATTATACTTCATATAGTCCAGCTTCTCAAATGATTTGCTTAGCATACAAACTGAGCAGGTTATGGAGAAAAGATACAGTCCTGACACACATCTTTCCTGATTTTAAACCATGTCGTGTTCCTTGTTGCGTTCGCATGAGCACAATTAAGTATTCTGGGATTCCTAGTCTTCTCAATGTTATCCACAATTTGTTATGATCCATATAGACAAATGCCTTCTTGTAGTCAATATAACACAAGCAAACATCATTCTGGTATTCTCTGCTTTCAGTCAAGATCTACCTGACATCAGCAATAATATCTCTCGTGTGCATCCTCTTCTGAACCCAGTTTGAATTTCTAGAAGTTTTCTGTCAAGATACTATTAATAGGCTAGAGCACAGCATATATATAACTTTTCCATACACTGAGGAATCTGGATCAGAACACACAGTATTTTGGAGAAGAACCTTCTATCTTCCACAGGGCACCCTCACTGGCTCCCAGTCCCTTTTCCTATATGCCAATAGCCCAGATGGGTAGCCTTCCTGGAGGCAGGGACATTCACTAGCTTTGGGTGCAGGCCCAGGTTAGGGGACAACAGAGTGTCACTCATAAAGTGCACTGAGGGCAGCGGGCAGAGGACTGAGACAGGTCTGCATTAAGTGAGAACCTGTCAAAATATAGGATCCCTGTGGTGTAGTGGCTAAGCACTGTCCCTCAGTCACTCCACAGGAGAAAGAGAAGGCAGTCTACTTCTGTAAAGGTTTGCTGTTGTTAGGTGCTGTTGAGTCATCCACGACTCACAGTGACTCCGTGAAGAGCAGATCTGTACCCTGCCCTGTCCTGTGCCATCCTCATCACCTCCAATATACCTGAGCTCACTGTTAAAGTCACTGTGTCAATCCATTTCATCAAAGGTCTTCCCTTCTCTCAATGACCTTCTACTTCACCAAGCATGATGTGCTTTTCCAATGACTGGTCCCTCTCAGCAACATGCTCAAAGTGTGGGAAATGAAGTCTCACCATTCTTACCTCTAAAGAGCACTCTGGCGGCACTTTCTCTAAGACCTGTTTGTTCTTTTGACAGTCCATGGGATATTCAGTACTCTTCTCTAACACCACAACTCAAGGGCATCAATTCTTCTTTCCTTCTTATTCACAATACAATTTCAAATGCACAGCAAATAACTTAAAAGACCACGGATTGGATCAGGCCCACTTTGGTCTTTAAACTCAACACTTTGGAGAAGTCCTTGACAGAAGATTTTCCCAATGCAATATACCTCTTGATTTTTTGGCTGCTGGTACCAAGGGGGTTGGTTGTGGATCCAAATAAAATAGTTGACAATTTCAATCCTTTCTCCATCTATCATGATGTTGCCTATTGGCCCAGTGGTGAAGATTTTTGCTTTACTGATATTGATTTATAATCCATATTGAAGGCTGTAGTTTTTTCTCTTCTGCAGCAAGTGCTTCAGGTCTCCTTCACTTTCAGCAAGCAAAGTTGTTTAATCTGCATAAGACATGTTGTTGATAAGTCTTCCTCAAGTCCTGATGCCACATTCTTCTTCAAAATGTCCAGTTTCCCAAGTGATTTGTTCAGTACACAGATTGAAAAAGTATGGAGAAAGGATACAACTTTGATGCACACCTTTATTTTTAATCATGTGGTGTTCCCTTGCTCTATTCGGACAACATCTTTAAGTCTAGGTTTCACATGAGCACAATTAGGTATTTTGAGGTTCTCATTCTTAACGTTAGCCATAATTTGTTAGGACTCAGAGTCAAACGTCTTTGCACAGTCAATAAAATACAAATTCTTCTGGTATTTTCTGCTTTTAGCCAAGATCCATCATCAATAATATCTCTGATGCCATGGTGGTTGTTGTTACGTTCCATAAAGTTGCTCATTGCGACCCTATGTACAACAGCCTTGAATTCTGCTCTATCCTGTCCCAACCTTATTGTCTCTGACACACTTACTTTCCTTGAATCTTCCTCTCTTGTGTTGTCCCTCCACCCTTCCAAGCATAATGTCCCTTTCCAAGGACTGGTCCCTCCTTGCAATAGCATTTTCTAAACTGGTTTGAATTTCTGAAGGTTTTCTGTCCATGTTCTAGCCATTTTTAAATAATTTCAGCAATATTTTGCTTGCATATGATATTAATGATATTGTTAGATAATTTCCACATTCTGTTATATCAACTTTTTGGGGAGTAGGAACAAATATAGATCTCTTCCAGCCAGCTGCCTTCTAGACTTCTTGGCACAGCCTTCTGAGGACATACAGGGATGGATCTGTTAGTTGAAACATGTCAACTGGTATTCGATCACTTCCTGGGACTTCCCCCTCCCCCCATGCCTTCAGGGATGCTTGAACTTCTTCCTTCATTATCAATGGTTCTTCATTATATACTACTTTTTGAAATTGGTTCTGTGTCGGCCAATTGTTTCTGGTGCAATGACTCATGTATTCTTCAAGATTTTGCCCACAGCATCCTTCAGTATTGCAACTTGAGGCTTGACTTTGTTTTACAGTTATTTCAACTTGATAATTTGAGTTTTTTCCTTTTTATTTTCTGATTCTGTCTCTTCTGTTTTCTTTTCCAGAACAATTCGTTATAATACTTGCTCTGTCTTCTCAAGCTGCCATTTGGAATTCTCTGTTCATCCTTAACGTAAAACATTTCTTCCCTTTGTTTTGGCTTCCCACTGTTCTGGTACAATTTTCAGAATCTCTTCTGATATTCACTTTGGTGTTTCCTCTCTCAGGTCTTTGTAATAAACTCTTATTTTCTTCATGGATGATGTCTCTGATGCCATCCTGCAGATAATTTGGTCTTCTTCAATCATTAGTGTCCACTGCCTGAAAACTATTTTTGAGCTGGTTTTTAAATTTAGATGGGATGGACTTAAGGCCCTATTTTGGTTCTTGTGGACTTGTTTTCATTTCATTTTTTTATTATTTTGCTTATATTTTATTGTGTTTTTTTCTTTTTTAAAAATTTTATTAATTTTCATGAACATTTACAGAGATTTTGTATTTCCATTCATTCATTGTTGCACTTTTCTCCCTGCCCAGCCCTCTCCCCAAATCTGACTGGTGCATGAGGAAATTGTCCCTCAATCTCCAGCAGAGCATCTGGTGGATTTGAACTGCTCACCTCTGGGACTGCAGTACAGCTTCTTGCCACTAGGCCACCAGAGCTTGCCAGTCACTATGTTTTTTTATAAGAGGTGTTTGACATAAACAAATGGTTGATTGTATAAAATTCAATCATACCATCTCCAGCCTTCTGTCACCAAGTCCCTAATTTCCAACCAGCTGTCCTCCTTTGTTTCCAACTTGTTTGTAAAGATTTACAGCCTTGGAAACTCAATGGGGTAGAATTCAACTCTGTTCCACAGGGTCTGTGAGTTGGAACGGACTTGACGGCAGTGCATTTGGTTTAGGGTAGAGGACACAGAGCCCTGGCAGCGCCATGGTTAAGTGCTCGGCTCATCACAGGTTATACACATTGTTTAGCTGGTAGATGTCACTGGCTGAATTTAAAACTTCTAATGTCCTTATGTAACAGAGAAGAAATGCCCCCTAGGGTTTTCTAGGCTGTCATCTTTATGAAAAAGAGACCTGGTGGTTTAGGGGTTAAAGTAAATGACTGCTAACCGAAAGGTCTTTAGTTTGAACTCGCTAGCTGTTCCAAGGGAGAAAAAAGAGGAGGCAGTCTGATCCTGTAAAGATTTACAGCCCTGGAAACCCTATTTCCACAGGCAGTTCTACTCTGTCCTCCAGAGTCACTGTGAGTCTGAATAGACCCAGATTCCTCGTTGACAGAACATCAGCCCAATGTGGAGCTGAACTGACCCTCTGATTAACATCAGAGAGCTCTCATGAAAACTAGCCCCCTTGATGAGCACTCAGCTGAGCCACCAGGCCCTGTGAACACCCCACGTCTCCCTATTCAGTCCCCAGCACACTCTATGGAAGGAACCCTGCATTTTGTATTGGGCTGCTAACTACAAAGGTCAGAGGTTCAAATCCACCAGCCTTTCCTCAGGAAAAAGATTGATAGTCTCCTCCTGGAAAGATTACAGCCTCGGGACCCACTGGAGGGTGGCCATGAGTTCTGATAAGACTTGACAGCAGTGGATCTGGTCTGGATAAATTCTGGAGAGGGACGGTCATCACCATTGTCACACAGCAGGGAAGGAACACTGCAGTGGAGCTGGGAATGAAGACCTGCCAGAGGAAGCCCCTCTAAGAGAGGGATGGTACAGAGGTTACAACGGTGGGGGCGAGCACAGCAGCTTGTGAGGCCGAGGAAGGACTGGGTGGGGTTTCCTTCTGTTTGCACTTGGGGTCATTATGAGTCAGAATTGACTCGATGGCCCCTGATAACAACTGCTTATTGCAAATGGAGGTAATCCAGTACTTCCCATGTTATGGCCAGGCGGGAGGGCATGGGGTCCATCACAAAGCCAGGCTCAGAATCAGCAGCCTGGCTTGCTGCTTCGACAAAGTGTTCAGACTTCTGACAAACTCCACAGCTGATGGACGCAGTGCAATGTGAGCTGGAGCCTGACGTAAAGCAGGAGACCCCTAGGACACCACAGAGACAGAGACACAGACAGCCACATGGTCCAGCGAGTACTTACGACTGGGCTATACACGCTGCCCCTCAGGAACAACAGCTGGGAGGAGGTGTACAAGATCGAGGCAGGAAATGAGAGAGAAAACAGAAGATGCATAAAGATAGGAAAATTAAAAAAAAAAAAAATCAAAGTTGGTGGTGTGGAAACAACAGGCAAAAGCCATGGAGGTTATTTATGGTGTTTGGAAACAACAGGAAAGTCTAGGCAAAATAAGCATTAATATTATTTTAAAACAGAAAATAACAAAGCAATGGAGAGAAATAAAAAGCCAGCTTTCACAAATTCTGAGTTTTTTTAATCAAAGAGAAATGAAAACACAAGATGAACAATGACTGAGAAAGAGATGGAAGTCAAGGCCTGGTGGTTGAGTGTATCCGAAGTGAGTGGCCTCAACGGGGCAGGGACCCAGAGTCCGGCCAGTCCCACAGAGAGTGCTCCCACCAACACCAGTTCCCTCCATGGCAAGCACAAATCCACGCCTCACACCAGGCTGTGCTGGCTGAGCATTCCAATACAGTGGGGATCTATGTGGTAGGTTCCAGGAATCCAGGCCTACAGATGCCGAAGGAAGCAAGGACTTTCCTTCAGAAGTGCCAAAGATGGCCTTCCCATGGAACTGGTACCCTGCACTTGGACTTCTAGCCTCCTAAACTGTTAGAAGAAATTCGTTTGTTAAAACCACCCCCTTGTGGTATCTCTGTTATAGCAGCAGTTGACAACTGAGAGATGCTGACCTATAGTCCTGTCACATCACAAACCAGTTTCAATGAGGAAGTCCGAGGGGGTGGGGGTTCGAGGAGAACTATGTTTATCTGGGATGGAGCCTGTGGGGTCACATCAGAACTGGATGGAGATTCCCACACAGGACTTCACATCTCCCTACTGACAATAGCTCCTCTGTGGTTAAGTGTCCCCCACTGCACCCCGTGATCCTCTGGGGACAGATATCACACATGCTAAGGAACTCTGGTGGCACAGAGTAGAACTGTCTCCACAGTGTTCTGAGGCTGTGAATCTTACAGGCACAGATTGCCTCACCTCTGCCCCATTGAGCTGGCTTTTCAGTAATAAATTGAGTGCTTTGACTGCATCACCAGAGCATCTCATAGTGAACACAGGACATTTTTGTTTTTCTTTAAAAAAGGCAGCCAGAATGTAAAAAGGAAGGCACAGTGCCCTCTGTGTGGGATGCCAGGCAGAACTACCACAGTGCCCTGGCCTCTGATTTGAACCTAGAACCCCTCCAGATGTTTTTCACAAGGTAGGCTTGCTGCTCACTCTCCTCCCCAGGGCCCTCACACTTTCCAGGTATTGGGAACAGAGTACCAGAGTGGGGGATGAGTTGCTGAGAGAACACTGCTTTGGAGACTCTGGGACAACCAGATCCTGAACCTGTGCCCACATACATACCCATACCAGTTTGTGCACCCACACTCACTTCCTCATCCACAATAACATGCATGTCCATGCCTGTACCTCAACCACACCAGTGCCCACATCCTCAGCCCATGCTGGCTCCCACTTCCACAACAGCACCCATGCCAACTCCAGTGCCCACCCTCTCACCCACACCCATTCCTGCTACCTTTTTGGAGAAGTAGTAGTGGGGCACTTGGATGCCCAGCAGTGCCTGGAAGGCAGCGGGCCGAGGGAAGCTGTCCTGGAACAGGATGCCGTGCTCCTCAGACACGAAGAAAGACAGCACCAAGACATCTGCCTGCGGGGACAGAAGAGGGCACTGTTTCCGCTGGCCACCTGATGCCCATCTGAGCTCACACAGAGGTCAAGAGGATGGAAGATGTGTGCACACAACAGGGCACATGGCTGCCCAGGGGATACACTGGCATGCCCACCTCTTCTGGAAGGACACCCTTGTCCTATTTGAGCTACCAGCTGTGTCCCACCCTGGGAGTGGAATCAAGCTCCAGCAGGGAACCTGCAGAAGGCGTCACCTGTGTGCAGCAGAGCCTGCAGGCCAGACACGCGTCTGCTGAGGTATTAGGGGAGCCTTGGTAGCACCGTGGTTTAAAGTATTTGACTGCTGATGGAAAGGTGGTTGTTTAAACCCACTAGTCACTTAAAGGATGAACAATGAGGCATTTTGTTTCGGTAAGGAGTTACAGCCTTGGAAACCCCCGGGGACAGCTCCACTCTGCCCTATGGGCTGGCTCTGAGCCGAAATGGACTCGACTACAGTGGGATTTCTTGGTTCCCCTAACTTACTTGAGATGAATTTATGGAAACGTTATTGTTGTTATGTTAAGCTGAGTCAGAAGTGACTCACAGCTGACCCTCCAGCAGATTGCCAAAGGCTGTAAATCACACAGGAGGAGAATGCTTATCTTTCTCCCATGGAGCACCAAGTGAAATTCAAACCATGTACCTTTGAGTTGACAGCACAACTCCTTACCACCAGGCAACTAGAGCTGGTGATGGAAGCATAGGAAATGCATTTTCTGTATAATTCTGAAAATCACATCATGAGGTATGGGCCTCACACATGGCTGGCACAGGGTGTGTGTACACGTATACGCACATGCACACGTATGCACACTGCCCACTTAAGCATATATGTAGAGGCATAGACATCTGTAAAAGTGCATGTTACATACACAGAACACACATGCGTGCCCACATGCACACAGCACACGTGCATACACACACATATAACACAGACAGGAAGACATGCACAAACACACTCACGCACACACAGTCAGCTGTACCATGGGGCTGGTGACCTCGCTGGTCGGGGACTGCCTCTCCATAGCTGGCAGCTGGACCCTGGATCCCTCGGGGACAGCCTCACACACGAACAGCCGGGGCTCAGTCTGGTCCCAGAAGTGACTCACCGGGACATGGTTCACCAGGCTCTCGTCTGCAAAGATGCTGCTCCTGAATGACAAGAGAGTGTTTCCTGAGGGTGGGCAGGTGCAAGAGTCCTATCACAGTCCCTGGGGCCAGTTCTACAGAGAAGCCCTAACTCCAGCTCTCAGCATGCCCTGGGACAGTGTGGCTTATCTGCACATGGCCTACTCTCAGGTATGGAAACCAGCAGGGTTCCACTGCCCAGTCATCCCAACAAACTCTCCCCACAGGCCTGCTCCTGGACCAGCAGGCAGATCCTGCAGCTATGGAACCAGCCTGAAACCTGAATCCTGCTCTATGCCATCTGAAGGCTGGCTCTAGCCCCAGATGTCACCAGTGTGGCCCACAGCTGGGTCTCGGTCCCAGTTCTTCCATCTAATACCTGGGAAGTGCTGTCAGACTAAGCCAGAGGTCAGGAACAGATCAGTGCTCAGAGAAGGGGGCTGCTGTGGTCACAAAGGTTCCTGTTGGCAATGGAGGACAAAGACCCGTCCACAGGTGTCATTCTGTTGACATATTGAGTCTCTGTGTGGCTGTGCCCACCCTGGCCTGGGGTCACTGTGCCCTCAGACATACTGGTACAATGCATGAGATGAGAAAGGCTGGTGGTGTATTCCTGTGGGGACTCCGAGCACGAGTGCCAGGGAGAGGAACACAGGGAGAGCTGGGTTCTGGCCAACAGACATCACAACACAACAGTGTGCGGGGCTGGGTCACTGAGGGCTTCAACCTGGATGGCTGACAAGCAGCTGCTCTCTGAGCGTGTTGTGTGGTTATGTACCGTTGAGTTGGCACTGACTCATAGCTGACCTCTAGTGGGTTTTCAGGGCTTGCCCATCTTGCTCCCATGGAGGTGAACTTTTGGTTGGCTGCACAACTCCTCACCACTAAGCCACCTCAGCTCCCTGCTGCTTGAGTTGTTGTTTGGTGTTAGGTTCCATCAATTAAGACTCACAGCAACCCTACGAGCAACAGAGCTGAACCTTGCCCTCTGCTGTGCCATCCTTGTCTGATATCCTTGAGCTCACTGCTGCCATCACTATGTCAATCCTTCTAGTTAAGGATCTTCTTGTGTTTCCATGACCTTTCACTTTTTCCTGGGACAGGCCCCTCTTGACATATGCCTGAGGTATATGAGACAAAGGTCCACCATCCGTGCCTCTGAGAACACCCTGATTGCACCTTCTCCAAAGCAGACTGGACTGTTCTTTTGTCAGAACATGGGCTATTCAGTACTCTTCTCCAACACCACATGAAGGCATACATCCTTAGTCACTGTCCAGCTTTCAAATGCATACCCCGGAAACCAAACCCACTGCCTCCAGTGCATTTCAACTTGCAGAGTCCCTGCAGGACAGTGGAACTGCCCCATAGGATTTTCAGGGCTGTCATGTCCAGAAACAGACTGTCCCATCTTCCTCCCACTGAGAAGCTGCAGAGTCCAAACCATCACAGCGTTTTCAGCACTTAGCAGCCAACTGCTTTAACTGCGCCTATTACTTTATAAAAGAAAAAAAAAATAACAACCCTAACACTCACATTGAATCCATTCTCAATGGAAACAATGCAACAGTCTCCTTCTGTGAAGATGTACATTTCAGACCCACCAGGAGACCGTTCTACCCCATCCTGGTCACTGTGATTCAGAACTGACTTGAAGGCAGTGGGGAGGTTGTACCTAGTATTTGAGGACCAAGTTTCTCCTTGTTTCTCCTGCTTGCAGCCCTGCAGTCCCCACTCCTGTGTTCCAGCTCTGCACCAGCTTGGCTGTGAGTGGGCCCCTGTGAGCATTACTGACACCCCTCTTCCAAGGCCAGGGCAGGATAGACAAAACCCAGGCTTCCTACGACATGGCTTGTTCTGCCTTTGGGTGTTTTTATGCCATAAGTCAAATCATATGCAAATTGTATGTCAAACATTACAAGAGTATAATATCTGTGGATGCTATCTTAGCAGGAATTGGAAAAGCAAAAGAAAGGTCTTTTTTGGTAGGAATTTGGCAGAACCTATAAGAAGACAATGATTTGAGCTCTGTCCTCTGTATTACAGCCTCAACAGCCATGGTCCTCCCCGAAAGGGCTCAAGTGTCTGATGAAGAAATTCTGAATTTTATTGAGACCCAAGCCTCCCTTTGTTCTTGGCTACCCTCACAGGGTCAGTCAGTCTTCTGTGTTTTAAATCACCAGTAGCAGCTCAGGGATTTGGAGCTGGGGCCTGGTTTAGCAACAACCCTCTTGGGAGTCAAGAACTAAGTGACTCTTTCAGAATCGAAGGAAAGCCCTCTCTCGCCCAAGCTCACCTCCTGGTCTCCTGCCTGGTGAAGGAGAGCGATTCTCTCTGGTCAATCTGCCCAGTGCAGAGGTCCAAGATGGTCATCGTGTCCATTTCCACATCATAGAAACAGATCCTGGAGTCAGGGCTGCTATCAGGCTGCGGGGGAGACAGAGGAGCTCAGCAGCACCCAGACCTCAGGACTCAGGCTGTTACCCCCCACAGTCCAGAGGACCACACCACTGTCTGCCTGCCTCTCATAAAGGAACTATTCTGAACTTGATCATGAGCTGTCGTACATTCTATCCAAGTAGCTGAGGGTAATTTCAACAATCTAAGAAGATTCTAGAAAATGGTAATATGACATGATATGTGACGTGATGTTGACTGAAACAAACCAAAGCCAAACCCACTGCCACAGAGACGTTTCCGACTCAAGGCAGCCCTCCTTCGTAGGAGACTACACACCTCCCTCCCTCTCTCCCTCCGAGCAGCTGGTGGATACACACCGCCTACCTTCGGGTTAGCAGCCAGCCACCCGATACACTACACCACCAGGGCTCCTTGAGTGAAACCAGAGAGATTCAAGAGGGCAAGGACTGTACGGCCCCACATCTGTCAGATGTCCACAACAGAGGGGTATGGCCAGTGGGCACTGAGTTTATTGTAATAAAACAAAAAACACTGTAGCCAGCCAGTTGTCACCAACATCAACCCCATGTGTCAGAGCAGAACTGTGTTTCAATGGGTGATTTTTCAGTGATTGCCAGGCCTTTCTTCTGTGGTGCCTCAGGGAAGGAAGGTGAACTGACAACCTAGGGGCCAGGACATCAGGCCACAGAAGCCAGGCATGGTTTTTGAATTATGGAGCAAGGAAAGGCAGTGGACTGGCCTTCCTGAGCATGCAGGGTGTCCCTCCCTTGGCCGAGGGAATGTCCCTCCAGGGTGGCCACCTCCTTCAGGGTGGCCACCTCCTCCAGGGTGGCTGCCCAGCACTCACCTTGACAAGGAGTAGGGTGATCTTGCTCCCGTTGGCATTGCAGCGTAGAGAGGAGATTGCTCCGACGTCAGGAACCAGCTCTGCCAGATTTTTGCAGTTGCAGTGGACTTTGGCTTCTCTGTGGAGGGACAGGGCAGGTAAACTAGCCTAATGCCCAGGTTCTGTGTCAGGGTCCAGGACCTGCCCACAGGGAGCCCAGAGCCTCAAGGCACAGCACATACTGGCTGCCCCAGATGCCACTCGTGACATGTGGACTGTGGCCCAGGCCCTACTCAGACGGCTTGGGGAGGTTTTAAATGCAAAATCCATTGCTGTGAGCAAACAGAAATGCGTGCGCTTTGCCTTTTCATTGCGTATGTGATGGGGATCAAAGTCTGTCGAGCAAATTGGTTCTCCATTCAACCATTTCCACACATTGTAATTCAATTCATGACATTGATTTGATCACCACAACCTAACAGAACTCTTCCCCACGTCCCTCCTGTGTTTCTCATTTCCATTCATTCTTTCCTACCCTTTCCTGCCTTCTGAACTTTAAAAAAAAGTCAAACCTCCTGTCACTGAGTTGATCCACTGGTTTCCAAAGCTGTAAATCTTAAAGGGAAGACATTATCTTTCTCCCATGGAGCTGATGATGGATTTGAACTACGGACACTCTGATTAGCAGCCCAACACCCGGCTTATTTCTCCACCAGTGTGTCTGGGTTTCCTCCCAGGGCATATGCTGTTCTTTTGATCTCCTGCAGGTGATCGTGCTAATGAGCCTGTGTTACCTTAAAGGCCTGTCTGTCATTTGGCTAGCATGCTCTGCTGGTGCAGCCCCCCAGGGGGCTGTACTGCTAACCCACGGCTGGGGGTCTCCAGTGGAACAAATCCACCAGCAGCACCGGGGAGGAAAGATGGGTAGTCTCCTCCTGTAGAGATTTGCAACCTCTGAAATGTCTGGAAAGTCACAAGAGTTGGAACTGACAATCTGAGTTTTACTGTTTGGTTGGAAATTGAGCCACCGTTCCAGGCTTGAAGGGTGACGTAAGGGCCCTGAGCCATCTCCTCCCATTAAGATTTCTAGGCTTGAAACTCGATGGAGGGTCACCACGAGTCAGAACGGGACTGGCTCAATTGCAGCAGAGAGTTTTATATTCTTTGGGTGAAAAGGTGTTTTTTTTTCTTTTACAGAATGAATTCATTTCCAGACTTGATGGGGGACAAAGGGCCAGTGTCTCGGAGGTTCCATCAGTCTCCATAAGAACAATGAGCCTAGTCTTTTTATGACTCTGAGTTGAATATGGGTTCTCATGCCCTCCTTCATCATTCTGTAACAAAAGCAGAACATCACAAGCTCTGCTCTCCCTACATCCTTTCCTCGGTGCCCTCCTCCACCCCTCTGCCCACCCTTGTCAGTGCAAGCTGGAGCTCTTCAGGTCAGGCTGTTTTCCTCTCCATGGCATAAACAATTTACTAAACCCCCTGCAGTGAGTTTGTTTGTAGTTTGTCATAATAAAAAAATACTGTGTGGTTAGCAGCCACTCAAGGAGTCTTTCAAAGTGGTACAAGTAGTTAAATGCTGGACAACCAACAGGGAAAACAGCCTGGAAATCCAAATGAACCCAGGGGCACCTTGGAAAACAGGCTGCGGGGAAAACAGAGATGCAGGGCCGTGAGGTATCAACTTCATGGCAGCAAGCAAGGGGAAGTCTGGTATATTCTAAAAAATGCCACCTAAGTTTATGTAAAATTTTATAGAACATCTAGAAAAGACTCCTCAAAACCCAGTGGAAATGTCCCTAAGAAAACCAGGATTCCACCCCATGTTCACACCACCTCTATTCTCTTGACCAGTTGTCAACAACTTGCGAACTTCCCTCAGATGAAAGCCGCACCTTCGGGAAAGATCAAAGCTCTTGAAGTGTGCCAAGTCTGTCCCGACCACCAGAAAGCTCCCGCAGATGTCCAGGAGGCAGGGGCTGCCCTCAGCCTCCGAGAAGAGCAGCAGCTGCTTAACTGTCCCCTGTGGAGAGGAAGCGGATGGAGACTCAGAACCATGCTCCTCTGGGGAGAGGAAGTGGGTGGAGATCAGACCCCTGCGCCTCCGGGGCAAGGAAGTGATGGGAACCCAGGATGCCATTCCCTTGGGAAAAGGAAGTGGATGAGGACCCGGAACAGGGCACTGCTCCTTTGAGGAAAACGGCCAGGGATCTGGACACCACTTCTGTGGCATTCCCTGTTAAGGAGGCCTGGTGACACGGTGCTTCAGTGCTTGGGGAAAGGCCTGCTGGTCTGCTCCTGTAAAGATGACAGCTTTGCAAACCCTCTGGGCAGGTCTGTTCTTTTCTACAGGGTTGCTGCCAGTCCACATCAACGCAAAGGCTGTGGGGTTTTCTGGTTTTCAAGGAGTTCCTGAGAGCCCTGGTGGCACAGCGGGTTAGGCACTGGGCCATAACTGAAAACCAAGTGGTTCAAACTAGGGGATCTGGGGTAGAAAGATGAGGCAGTTTGCTTCAGTAGACTTCCAGCCTCAGAAACCCTAGAGTAGTTCTGTCCTGTCCTGGAGGGTTGCTGCAAGTCGGCACGAACAGGATTGAGGTTTGGAGCATGATTCCAGGAGATGAGGTCACAGACAGAGCCCAGCCTTGCTGCCCCAGCCCTGTTTAGGATGATCTTGGGGCCGTAGGCATGACATATCCACTCAGGTGGCTCTCTGAGCTCAGCTTGCATTACCCCCACCAAGGCTGTGCTCTCCGAGGTGCCCTACCTGCCACGTCCTCACTTGGACCCGGTTTGGCTCCACCGTGTACACGCTGTCCTCGTGCATGGCCAGCACTGGGGACTCACACAAGAAGGTGCCTACAAAAAAAGGTGGATGTCCCTGGGGGTCACTCACCCGCTCCTGCCCACCACTGTTCTGGCACCACCCAGCAGCTTAATGGGCTGATGTCAGCAGCAGCATCTCTCAGATAGGGCAGTAAGGCAGGGGGGCCCCAGACCAGGGACCACCAAAGCACAGCCAACAACCGGCAACTGGAGACAAGGAGAGGCTCCCATCCTCATTCATGGGGTTCCTTGCTTTACTGTAATCATGTCATAAGACAGACGGAATGCCCAGAAGGGGGCAGAGGGATGTGTCATCTGCAGGACACCAAAGAACTTGAGGAAAAGAATGAGGGCAGGGCTCCAGGCAGAGAGCTGTGTGCTCCTGGTAGTTGCAGGCACATCCCTACCAGCCCTCTTAGGGTACCCAGATTCCCTCCTAGAGCCTCATTAGTATACAAGCCCCCATCCACAGGCCCCTTGGCATGCACAGATTCTTGCCAAGTTCCTGTGAGTGCACAGGCCTGTGTCCTTGTTGGTGCACAAACCCCAACCTGTGTCCCCTCCAATGTGGACCAGCCCCCACCTGCGGTGCGCAGTGAGGTTCCTGAAGGCTCAAAGATTACCACCTGCTTCCCATTCCAGACGGCCACTGCATCCTGCAGGGAAGACAGAGACCAAGAAGGACGTCAGGGGAATGTGTCCCCTGGAATCCTCAGTAAAATGTGTCCCTCTACTGCCTCCGTTCCGCTCTCCCATCAGCCTTCATCACCTTTGTGGCGAAGACTCCACTGATATGCACGTCGGTGCGCAGGCTGTAGGTGGTACTGGACGCCAGGAAGTCCACATGCAGCACGCTGGAGGACAGCTGCACTGCTGCCACCTGCTGGTAGAAGTGCGCAGCCATGGCCTGCTCACTCAGGATGACCACTGCGTTGATGTTGTTCACCGCCAGCAGGCTCTTCCGGGACCCCCACTGCACATGTGGGTGCAAAGAAAGAGGTGTTAGGTGTACTCACAAACAGGAGATCAAGGTGGCCACTGTGCCTTCTGCTCAGAGAGATTTCCGTAAAGGTAACTGGCGAGCATGGGGCTTGGGTAAGGCTGAAAGTCAGCAAACGAGCGGATGACACTCAATGAGAGGCTGGCACAGAGGCTGCAACCACAATGAGACAATTAGTCTGTGGGCCACTCTGGCGGTCCTCGGGTTTGGTAGTTGCAACACGGTCCTTCCCTTGAGAAGGCCTGATGTAGTGTGGTCATTCTCCTGATGGGATTTACAGTTGAAGGGGAGCTCCATGAGTATCTAAAGAAGTCTAGGGGATCTTCAGTCTGCATCTGGCTCCTGGCCTTTATAGTTTCTGCAGGACCTCCGGGCCTGGGATACATCAGTTTCTGCAGCTAGATGCCTGAGACTTGTCAGCCTCTGAACCTGCCTGAGTTATGCCTTTTACATAAATATCTCTTGGTGGTGGTGGTGGTTGTTATGTGCCACCAAGTTGACTACGACTCATAGCGGCCCTGTTCAAAATAGCTCTTAACACTGCTCTATCCTGAGCCAGTCTCACTCTCTGATGCACCTACCCTCATTGCCCCAGTTATTGTGTCAATCCATTTCATCTGGAATCTTCCTCTCCTGTGCTGTTCCTCGACCCATGCAAAGCATATCCTTCTCCAGAGACTGGCCCTCCTGGCTATACACCCATAGTATGTGAGATGGAGTCTCAAAAAGATCTCTTTACAAATTTTAATTTGTAAAAAATATCTCTTTACAAATATATAAATGTAATATGTACTTCCCCCATTGGTTTTGCTTAGTTGCTTTTGCTTCTCTAGAGAACCCAGCCAAAGAGAATGAGCTTAAACTCAGCAATGACTTAAAAAATGACCCAGCACCTGGCACTGTTTACTGCTGCTGTGCATGTGTCACTAGAAGTCTGAACAGGCTGGACAACACCTAACACTAACAATTCCTTAAAGAGGGAAAAGGTCTTTGCCCCTGGAACTGAACTCCCTTCTCTGACACAATCACTGCCAAACGAAGCTCTATAAGGTAAACTATGATCCCCATGACACACTCAGTCCTTAGAACACTCAACCACACAGGATCACAAAGGCAGTACTTTCCCAGGGACAAAGCTCAGAGGGAGTAAAGGAAGGGAGAAGATGGAAGGATGAATGGAAGACAAGAACTACAGAGAATGGGAGGACTGCTGATACAATGTGGGGATTGTAATCAATAGCACAAATCAAATAAGCAGAGCAGTCGAGTGTAATATCAATCTGCTCTGTCAATTTTCATTAAAATCACAACAGAATGTGTAAACAAAAAGTTTTAAAAACAAAGATATCATTTTGACCAAGGTGCACCTGACTCAAACCAAGGCTGCTTATGGGGTTGCCTCATCGGCATGTGAATGCTGGACAATGAAGACTGAGGAACAACTGATACTTTTGAATTGCGGTGCTGGTGAATAATACTGAATAGACTATAGACTGGCAGAAAAACAACCAAGTGCAAGAAGTGCAGCCAGTGTGCTGCTTAGAGGGTGGTGAAGCTTCATCGAATCTGCTTGGGCATGCTATCAGGCTCACCGACTTAAAGGGTCAGTGAAAAAAAGCTGTCCCTCAATGAGATGGACTGGCACAGTGGCCACAACCATGGGGACAAATGGTTGTGAGGATGGCACAAGGCAGGGGGGTGTTGCACATGTGGTCACGGGGAGTGGGAAATGTGCTGTTACATTGTGGGGATTACAGTCAATGCTACAAATCAACAATGTGTGTGAATCACTGACTGGAACACCCACCTGTTCTGTAAACTTTCACTGAACTGACAATAAATAGTGAAACAACACACACACACACACACACACACACACACACACACACACACACACACGGTCTTAGGTTGGATTACTGACAACACAGGCAGAAGGCGCTCCCACAAGGCCTCACCTTAATCTGTTTGATGTTCCCCTTCAGTTCAGTCGGAGTCTGCAGAGCCCACCTGTCCTTCCCCTCTGCCCTGAGGCTGCTTGGGGGACCTGGTGCTTTTCGCCACATGCTGACGCGCCCTCTGTCAGTGCCAGCTGCCAGAAGACCTGTGGATGAGGACAGGGCTCATCTCAACCCAGAGAAAACTGAGGTCAGCAAAGACTCCAGAGAATACTTCTGATCAAAAGAGGGGAAATGTAGAACACCATTTCCAAATATCATGGAATTTAGACTTTCGAAGCCAAGGAGGCTAGTGAACTCTGAAACTATTACATTAAAATAATCTTTCAACCTTAAATAAAAAATATCCCCTGAAGTCTTAAAAGCAAACAGGAGATTAGCTTAACTAGTCAAGAATGCCTGGGGGAGCTCTGGTGGCCTAGTGGCAAGAAGCTGCACTGCAATCTCAGAGGTACATGGTTCGAATCTATCAGATGCTCTGCCGGAGACGGAGGGGCAATCCCCTCCTGTACCAGTCAGATCTGATTTGATGGTACACACAAAACAATAATTAAAAAATAAGTACATAAATAAAAAGAATGCCTGCCTTACCCTGGAGGACATTATGCTGAGTGAAATATCTCAGTCACAAAAGGACTGCATAGTCCCACTGTTGTAGAATAGGACTGACATCATCAGGGTTGGGATGAGACTGAGAAAAATTGGATAAATTATACTGCATTGATAAAGTATACTGCATTGAAACATATGAGGGAAAGAACAGTTTAAAAGTGATATATGATTGGGTATTATGGTTATGACAAGAGTCCAGAATGAAGGTTGCATAGTGGAGTGTACTGGGGAGGGGGGCAGATTGTATGCCAATGAAGAAATTTTTCTTTTACTTTTCAAAGAGAAGAGCAAACTGGGGAGGGGGGGCGGTGGGCAGGGAGAAAAATGCAACAATGAATGAATGGAAATCCCAAAATCTCTGTAAACATTCATTAAAATAAAATAATTTTTTTTAAAATGCCTGCCTTGAACATCATGCTCTTTTACAATCAATGTATGTTGTTGTTATGTGCCTTCAAATCAAATACAATTAATAGTGATGCTTTGAACAACTTTGAGACCTGCACTTGCCCTGTCCTGTGCCATCCTCATGATCTCCAACATGCTCGAGCCCGCTGTTAGTTCCTGTGTCAATCCACCTTGAGGGTCTTCCTCTCTTTTGTCGATCCTCTACTTTTCTTAGCATGTCTCTTTCCAAAGACTGGTCCCTCTTGACAACATGGCCAAAGTATGTGAGATAAAGTACTCTAAGGAGCACCCTGGCTGCATTTCCTCCAAGTCAGACTTGTTCTTCTGGTAGTCTGTGGGATATTCAGTATAATGGGCTTGTGTATGATGGAGATCATGACAACTGCACAGAATAGGATGAGGTTTGGTTCATGGTGTTGCTGTGCATCTTAGCTGGCTTGACAGCACCCTAACAACAACAACAACACGTTGCATGTGGTTATTGTGTTTATGGTGGATGTGCATGTGTATTCATATATATGTTTTTGTCTGTTTCTCTGTGTGTGGTATTGAGACAGGATAGATTCTGCTTTAAAATTTAGAATACAGATTCTGAAAAAGCAGTCCCTGCATTTTGAGCTGAACCAGTCCAGGTACCAGCTTAAAACTTCTGGTTTTACACTTCAGGTTAAGGACACCCTCTCCAAGTCATCACAGGGTCCAGGCACACAACCTACATGAACTTTCAACTCCCTGTCATTGAGTTAGAAGTGACACATAACCAATCCACCAGCATTGATCTTATTTTTTTGCTAACCAATTCCCTTAGCAGGTAGCCTGATTTTTGCTAGGCTGCTTCTTGTTGTTGGTTAGGTGGAGTTGACTCCAAATCACAGTGGCCCTATAGTGGCCTATATGGTGCCCTTTCCTGCACCATCATCACAATCTCCACCTGCCCAAACCTACCAGCTGTGGCGGTCATTGTGTCGAGCTACTTCATTGAGGGTCTTCCTCTCTTTAACTGCTCCTCTATCTTCCCAGCATGACGTCTCCCTCCTTGGAGGGAGACAAGGTTCCTCTTGAAGTTATATGTTGTTGTTGTTGTTATGTGCCATCGAGTCGCTTGCGACTCATAGCGACCCTATGTACAACAGCCCTAAACTGTGCTCTGTCTTGTGCCAATCGCACTGTTTCCAAAACACCCATCCCAATCGCTCCAGTCACTGAATCAATCCACCTCATAGAGGGTCTTCCCCTCCTGTGCTGTCCCTCCACCCTCCCAAGCATGATGTTCTTCTCCAAGGACCGGTCTCTCCTTACAACAGTCCAAAGTATGTTAGACGGAGCCTCAGAATCCTTGCTTCCAGGGAGCCGCCCAGTTTAACCCTCTCCAGGATGAATCTGTTTGTTTTCCTAGAAGTCCATGGTACCCTCAATACTCTTCTCCAGCACCACAGCTCAAAGGCATCAATTCTCCTTCCGTTCTCCTTACTCATTTATATATATAGTCATTTAGTTATATATACCAAGTAAATGAGACAAAGTTTCACCATCCTTGCCTCCAAGGAGCACCCTGATTACACTTCCTTCACGGCAGATTTCTGTCAAGATAGAATATCTCTAGGCTTGTTGTTGCTATGTGCTGCAGGTCGCCTACGATTCATGGCAACCCTAAGTACCACAGCTCTGAAGCCTGTCCTGTCCTCAGCCAGTCGCACTGACTCTGACATACCTACTCCCCAGTTACCCTAGTTACTGTATCAGTCCATCTCATCTGGGGTCTTCCTCTACTGTGCTGTCCCTCCACCCTTCTGAGCATGAAGTCCTTCTCCAAAAACTGGTCTCTCCCAGCCACGTGCCAAAAGTATGTGAGATGGAGTTTTAAAATCCTAGCCTCCGAGGAGATACTTGGTTTCACCCTCTCCAAGACAGACCTATTTGTTTTCTTGGCGGTCCATGATATGTTCAAGACTCTTCTCCAAAACTATAACTCAAATGCATCAATTCTTCTGTCATCCTTAGTCAATGTCCAGCTCTCTGATTCATAGCAAGTGATTGTGAAGACCATGGCCTGGATCAGGCACACCTTAGTCTCTAGACTGACATCTTTGTTTCTCAGTACTCTGGACAGCAGATTTACTTAATGCAATTAATCTTTTTATTTCCTGACTGCTGGTATCAAGGGTGTTGATTGTGGAGCCGAGCAAGCTGTAACTGTTAACCTCAATCTGTTGTCCATCTATCATTGTGCTCACCAACTGGCGCAGTGATGAGAATCTTTGTCTTCTTGATGTTGAGCTTCAATCCATATTGAAGACTACAGTCCTTGACCTTCTGCAGCAAGCGTCTCAGGTCTTCCTCAGTTTCAGCAAGCAAGAGTGTGTCATCTACATAATGTAGGTTGTTGATGAGTCTTCTTCCAATTCTGATGTTACATTCCTCCTCATAAAGCCCAGCCTCCTGAGTGATCTGTTCTGCACATACATTGAAAAGGTATGGACACAGGACACATCTCTGATGTACTCCTGTCCTGATTTTGAATCATGCAGTGTTTCCCTGCTCTGTTCCAAGTACAGGTTTTGCATAAACACAATCAAGTGTTCTGGGATCCCCATTCTCTTCAAGGTTGACCACAATTTGTTGTGATCATGCAGTCAAATGCCTTTGCATAGTCGTTTCTGGATAATCTTCAGCAGGATTTTGCTTGCATGTGATTTGGGTGATATTGTATGATAACTTGCACACTCTGTTGAGTCATCTTTTTGTAAAATCAGAATAAGTATGGATCTCTTCCAGGCAGTTTGCCAGGTAGTTGTCCTCCAGATTTCTTGGCACAACCTCATGAGCATAGCCAGGGAAGCATCTGTTTATTGAAATATGTCAATTGGTATTCCATCAATTCCTGGGGCTTTATTTTTTGCCAAGTCCTTCAAAACAGCCTGAACTTCCTTCTTCATCATCATTGCTCTTGATCTTATGTTATTTCTTGAATTCTTCTGTGTCAGGCAGTTTTTGGTACATTGACTCTGTATATTCCTTCCATCTTCTTTTTTTTTAATGTATTTTTTCCTTTTTTCCCTTCTTCTTTTAATAATCATTCAATATTCTTCCCAGACTTACTTCCTTAAAACTTAGCCTGAAGCTAAACCTGTTCAAATCAGCATCTCGTGTCTAAGGAATGACCTCAAACAAGCAGTAAATCTACCTATGTTGTTGTTAGCCCTATTGGCCCAGTGGTGAGGACTTTCTGTTTTCTTGATGTTGAGATCCAATCCATATTGAAGGCTGAAGTCTTTGATCGCCTGCAGCAAATTATTCAAATCCTCTTCTGTGACGCAGAATCACAAAACTGTGCTCCACATTGTGTGCGCACCACCCCATAATAACTGAGTCTCTTGGCATCATGTGGCCCAGAAGCCTCCATAATGGGATCCATTCTGAAAGACCAGTTGCTCAAGCCCCCAATTTATCATAACTATTCTATGCTGGCAAGTTACCAGAACTCACCACCTCCTCTCATAAGTAAACATGGTATAATTTCCCATTTCACTCACTTTACTATTCTTACAAAGAGAAGAACCCTAAAATTGACAGGGGAGTCCTAAAATAGTATGTGTGGTGTGTATGTATATGGTGTAGATGAGGGAGAGGTATATGTGTGGAGAGTGTGTGATGGGTTTGTGGGGTGGTGATTTGTACATGTACAGTTGTATGTGGAGTGTATGATGTGTATGTATATGGTGCGTGAGGTCTATGGGATATGGGTGTGATATGAGTGGTAATAATGAGTGGTCTGTATATATGGGAAAAGTGTCTGGTGTATGATTTTGTGCAGAGTGTATTTATGTATTGGGTGTGAATGTGTAATCTGTGAAGTATATGTATACTGCACATGTGTGTGTGTGTGTGTAGTGGTGTGGTGTGTGGTATGTGGCGAGTGGATGTATATATGTACCAGGAGTGTGTGTGTGGCTGTGTGGTGTACAATGTGGACGATGGATGTATGTATTTATGAGGAGTGTGTGTGGTGGGTGGTGGGTGGATTTATGTAGGTATAAAGAGTGTGTATGGTGTGTGGATACATGTATGTATGTATGAGGAGTGTGTGTGGTGGGTGGATGCATGTATGTATAAGGAGCGTGTATGTGGTGTGTGGTGTGCAGATATGTATGTATGAGGAGTGTGGTGTGTGGATGTATGCATGTATGAGGAGTGTGTGTGGTGGGTGGTGGGTGGATGCATGCCTGTATTAGGAGTGTGTGTGTGGTGTGTGGATGTATGCATGTATGATGAGTGTGTGTGTGTGGCTGTGTGGTGTTCGGTGTGCAGATGGATACATGTATGTGAAGTGTTATGTTGAGTTGCTTTTGTCATCTCCCCATGCCCTGGGGGAGCCGGACCTTGTCCACCTGGCTCTCTGCTGCCCCCCAGTGCTTGAACCACAGTGAGCCGATCTACTGAAAACAAAACCGAACCCTCATGCTGTAGATTTGGACTCATAGTGGCCCCATGTGACAGGGTAGAAGAGCACTTGATGGCATTTTTTAGTAATGATGCCAGGTGCAGATTACTGGGCCTTTCTGCCAGGCCGGCTGGGTGGGTCAACTGTTGAGGACAAGCTGTCTGCACCGCCTGGCCTCTCACATGCTAGTGTTAGCACGGGCTCAACAGCTGCCTGTTTTCCCTGCCCTTTGTGAGGGTGTGCATTTGTATGCACGCACGTGTCTTTATGTGCTCATGTTCACACTTGTGCACACGTGCACTTGTAGGGAGATGTGCGTTTTTGTCTGTGTGCATGCACAAATGTTTCATGTATGTACCTGTGGGGGTTCAGGGGTGTGTGGACTTGTGCATGAAGTGCATACTTCTCATATTGTATTTCTGGAGGACTTCGGGAGGGACTGGTGGCCAAGTGCATACACTCGCCGACCACACACAAGGCCAGATCCATAGCCTGCATGTGGAGGACAATGCTTTCCTGCCAGTTCTGGGCCTCCATGGACTTGACTTGTGCTGCTGTCACCACACTTGCCCTGCAGCCCTGGTCCACCCCATGCAGCTGGCTCCAATTCCCTTGCCAGCCAGCAAGGAAGGCTCACCTTTGCCTCTGCAGTAGGAGACACAGTTAATATTCTCTCCATTCTCAAAGCCAAACTTCACATCTGGACTCAGCACATAGTTCTCGCCTTGTTCCGAGTCCCAAAATCTACTCAGTAAGAAGGGGCAGAGGAGGGCTGGTGAGAGCACACTTCAACTCAGAAGGCGTCATCTGCCTGTGGGATGAGACTACAACCACCAGGAAAAACGACCACCCTCAACCGAGAAGCCTGGCTCACCTGAGCACAGCCTCACCAATGGCTGTCACCAGCAGGCTGCCCTCGATCAGGGCAACATCCGCCTGGCAGCCTGTCTTCCCACTGAGCTTGACCTGCAGGAGAGGCGCAGGCTGAGGAGGCGCTGGATGCTGGTAGTGAATGCATTTTGAAGCATCTAGACTCCAAGTTCCATGGCTGCCCCTATGAGGTGGAGGGGTCTCCAGGAACCTGTGGCTTTGGGACCCTGCTACTGGGGGGGGCTGTACATGTCCCCCAAAAAAGACATGTTGAAGTCCCTGTGCATGCAACTCTGTGTGGGATAGGATCTGTCTCTGCAGACTCTGTGAGTTAAACTAATGTGAAGTCACCCTGCAGCAGGGTGGCCTAGTGCCACTGAATGGGTTCCTTATAAAGAGGAGACGACACACAGACACCACGGAGGGTGCCGCATGACCCTGGAGGCAGAGACAAGGACGAAGAGTCTACAGCCAAGGATTTCAGGCAACCATTGAACAGAGAAGAAAAAGTGATACCCTCCCCCAGAGCAGCAGAGGGAGTGTGCACAGCTTGCTGCCACCCTGATTTCAGACTGCAGTCCCTGGAACTTTCCAGAGCACACTCATCCATTGTCTCAGCCTCCATTTGTGTCCTGATAGCAGAGGGGTTAAAGTTGCTAAATGAATAGTCAGTAGTTTGGACCCTCCAGCAAAGTGAGGCAGTCTGCTTCTGTAAAGATTTAGAGCCTCGGAAACACGTTGGGGTGGTTCTGTTCTGTCTACAGGGCTGCTGTGAACCGGAACAATGAGGCAAAAGTGGACAAGGATTGTGGTCCTCAGTGGCAGTGCCCTGGGCCCACCTGTCCTCACCCACCTTTATGAGTTCTTTGGCTTCACCCTCGGGTGTCACTGTGTACAGGGAGAGAACCAGGGTCTCTGTCACCACCAACAGCGCCTCTCGCTTCTCGATGTAGAAGAGTGATTGCACGGGGCTGTCCATGGATGCCACTCGGGCCGTCTTGCCCTTCTCATCCACATAGTGCACAGTCCCTGCAGGACAAAGTGGGGCATGATGTGGGGGGCAGCTCCCTGAGCCATTCCATGTCTCAATTCTTATTAGGATTGTAGAATAAGAGCCCTGTTAGTGATCACTTGGTGGGTACCAGGTGATCACAGTAGGATTGAAAAGGGCACCTTGATGTCTCTGTCAGAACAAAGTAATGTAGCTTTCTGAATACCAGGTACAAACACATAACAGCTGGGCTCCTGGGTAACCCCAACATACTGTGGGGCCCTGCTGGAACAGTGATTCAGTGTCTGGTTGCTAACTGAAAGGTCAGCGGTTTGAGTCACTAAATTCGATAGGAGAGATCTGATGATCTGCTTCCACAAAGCTATCCTGTGGGGAGCCTGTGGGCAGTTCTACTCAGCGCTCTGGAGCCACCTTGCGGAGGAACAGACTGGACAGCAATGGAAAACTATTTAGGGGCAGCAGGCTTTTGCGAGGCCAGACATGGCTGTCGCTTGCTGCTGGCTCACTTCTTTTTTTTTTTTTACAATATTTTTTTTAAATTTTTGTTTTATTATTTTGTGTGTGTGTGTGTGTGTGTGTGTGTGTGTGTGTATTGTCAAATCAGATCTGACTGGTACAGGAGGAGATTGTTCCTCCTTCTCCAGCAGAGCATCTGGTGGATTTGAACCACTGGCTCACTTCTGTTCACTCAGTTGCTCTTCTGTAACACCCACTAGGGTACTCTTAGGGTTTGGGGACACTGGAGGAGTCTTAAACGGAGGCATAAGCCCCTAAGCCTCCCACTGCATGGTGCTGAGCCTCAAGGTTACCCTGCCGCTGCCTGGGGTTTGACTTTGTAAGTAAGCCTTTCGTAAACTTTGTCATAAACCTGGAGTTGCCACACTTGTTCTTCTATTTATTGGTCTCCCCTATATTTGGAGGCAAATTTAGTGTTACTTGTCTCTAAACTGGTCAGGGCATTCTGATGGTGCAGTGTGTTATACGTTGGGCTGCTAATTCAAAGGTTGCTAGTATGAATCCAACGGCCACTCTATATGGCACTCATTAGGAAGTCTCTTCCCATAGAGATTCACAGCCTGGGAAATCCTGTGGGGGTCACCTCCTCTCTCCTGCAGGGTCTCTGTGAGTTGAAACTGACTTGAGTGCAGCTGGGTGGGGCTTCCAGTTTGGCCAGTGCCCAGGCAAACAACAACAGCTAGTTTACCATTCTACAGCCATGTGTTCTTTTTAGCTGAAAGGTCATTACCAGGGACCTCTACAGTCCCGACATCCCGTCCTCATGACGTGGGGTGGGTTTCTCACCATCTATCAAGCTGACAAAGAAGGACAGTCCCTCCTGAGGGCCCATCTTCAGGAAGCTCCCGAAGCCACTCTTCCTCCAGTTGAACATGTCCAGCGCCTTCTCGTCACCACTCACAGCAGCTTTGGCCAACTGCACCAGGTCCCTAAAAGTAAAAGAGTGCCATATGGTGTGATAGGCATACGGGAAAGGGCTGGGAGTGCAGACTGGCTGCATGCAGCCCCTCTGCTGTGGCACATGACACCGACACTTACTCGCCAGGTGGAGGCAGCCGAAAGATGCAGTGCGTCAGGTGCTTTCTGTACTCGTGTTTCAGCAAGGGTGTCCCTTGAACTCGGCCTCTCTGGTCCAACCTCCATAACAGCAGGGCACCGAGCTGCAGAGACCCAACAGCAAGCGTGAGGTGGGGCCAAGCAAGATAGAATGCAAGAGACTGCAGGTAGGGGAGAGAATGAGTGAGTGAGGACTGATCAGGAAGGCAGGACACAATACGGGGTGACCATCATGGCATGACCAGCAAAGGAAGATAAGGAGAGAAGTGCAGGAGAGTCACAGGCAACAAAGGTACATACTATCACGTGCATAATCCTTCACTATCAGTGTCAGGGCTGGAATTGTGTCCCCCAAAATACACATATGTAATGACAAAATGTGGAAGCTATGTAACAACCCCCAATGTCCAATGAGCTGATAAACTAGATAGTTGTGAAAAGATTAAAGGTGGAACCCAGCATCCCTTAATTCCATCATAATAAGAGAAGCTTCCCTACGATGTGACTTGTAAGATAAAAGAGGGAAGGAATATGGTTCAAATCCACCAGATGCTCCACTGGAGAAGGCACGGCCTTCTGTGCTGGGCAGTTCGTTGACACCAATGAAGGCCAGGATGCATGGGGATCTTGAAGCAAAACCTGGTCTACAGATGCTAAAGAAAACAAGAGCCTTCCTCTGGAACCAAAAGGGAGAGAAAGAGAAAGACAGAGAGAAGAATGGAGGGAGAGAAAGAGAGAAAAAATCTTCCTCCAGAGCCGGCATCCTGACTTTGGACTTCTAGCCTCATAAACTGTGAGAAATGAAATTCTGTTAAAGCCATCTACCTGTGGTATCTGTTACAGCAGTAACTAATTATGATAGGGATTGAATTGCATCCCCAAAAGGCACATGTTGATTTTACTAGTCTATTATTCTCGGTGTTTATATTGTAACTCCTTACCCCTGTTATGGTGGCAGGATTAGAGCAGGTAAACAATGATATGAATCTCTACTTAGTCAGCACAGATGTGACTCACTAATGATCAAAGATCAGACGGGCTGTGGGATGACATCAGGGACATCATACATAAAGAAAGATCATTAAAAACACAGGAAAGAAATAAAAATACCAAAACGGACATCAGCAGAAACAAAACCGGCTCGACTATGGAGAGAAGCTAAAGCAAAAGGAAGAAATGAAAAAGAAATACTGTTCAAAAAAGGATTTTAAAGACAAAGACAAAGCTAAGAAATGTAATAAAATATGCAGAAAGTGGTGGCTCTGGTGGTCTAGTGGCAAGAACCTGTGCTGCAATCCTGAAGGTGAGCAGTTCGAATCCACCAGATGCTCCACTGGAGAAGGCAAGGCAATCTCCTCCTGTGCCAGTTGGAACCGATTTGATAGAATACAACAAGTAAAAAAAAAAATAATAATAAATAAATCTGAGAGCTGAAGTTAGAAAAACAAAGGGAATATTTCATTCAACATTTCTCAAGGAAAGAATTGAAGGGGGGAAATCAAGTCTTCAGTTGTAATACTGAAAATCCTATGGGCAAAATATTGAATAATGCAGGAATAATCCAAAGATGACACAAGGAACACACAGCCACTGTACCAGAAAGAATTGCTTGACACTGAAACATTCAGGAAGTGTCCTATGGTCAAGAGGCAATGGCATTGAAGAAAGAAGCCCAAACTGCACTGAGACCAGCAAAATACAGGGCCCTAGGAATTGAGGAATGTAAGTTGAGGCATTTTAACAAATAGAGCAGCTCTCGATGTGCTCACTCATCTGTACCATGAAATTTGGAAGACAGGGTCCACCCACTGGAGGAGATTTAAATTTATGCATACTCCAAAAAAGGTAACCTAAACAGAATGCAAAAATCATCAACCAGTATCATTAATATCACACTCAAGTAAAATCTTCCTGAAGATTATTTAAAATTGCCTGGAACAGCACAATGTCAGACAACCACCAAAAATTCAAATTGGATTCAGAAAAAGCTGTGGCACAAAGGATATCATTGCTGATGTCCGGTGGATCTTAGCTGAAAGCAGAGAAAACCAGAAAGATGTTTAATTTTAATTTTGTTGACTCTGTAAAGGCATTCAACTGTGTGAATCATAATAAATTGTGGATAACATTGCAAAGACTAGGAACTCTAGAACACTTAATTGTGCTTATATGAAATCTGTACATAGAAAAGGCAGTTGTTCAAATAGAACTAAGGGTGATTTAAAATCAGAAAAATGTGCATGAGGGTTGTATCCTTTCTCCATATCTATTAAATCTGAATGCTGAGCTAATAATGCAGAAGTTGGACTATATAAATAAAAATCTGGCATCAGAATTGGAGGAAGACTCATTAACATACATTAGGCAGATGACACAACCTTGCTTTTACAGAAAGTGAAAGAAAATTACTTAAGAAAATTAAAGACTACAGGCTTTAATGTGGATTAGACTTCAAAATTAAGAAAACAAAATCTTAAAAATAAAAAGAAACCAAAACCTTGATTGTTGTTGTTGTTGTTGTTATGTGCCGTCGAGTCGCTTGCGACTCATAGCGACCCTATGTACAACAGCCGTAAACCCTGCTCTATCCTGTGCCAACCTCACTGCCTCTGACACATCCATCCCAATTACCCCAGTCACTGAATCAATCCACCTCATAGAGGGTCTTCCCCTCCTGCGCTGTCCCTCCACTCTGCCCAGCATGAT